GCGGGCCCGCCGAACCCGCCAGCTGCTGGTGGTCAAAGCAGCATCTTCCCACCCGAGAGCACTTTCTTGGGATTTCCTGACTTGGGGATTCCCCTGAAGTTTTCACCTCTTGGAAAAAGTGTGTGCGGAGAGCCTGAGTTTTGCTGTGGGGCCTTTTTTTTTTTTTTGGTTGTTGCTGTTGTTGGCTTTTTGAAAGTAATCCTTTGTTTCCTATTTTGGCAGCAAATGGAGGAGATCTGGCGCGAGATGCGCTGGATTATGGATGCCCTGCAACATGCCCGGTACAAGCAGCCCTCCTGCGGGGTGTCTCTCAGGTGCTTCCTCAGCAAGGCTGGTGGTACAATGAAGGAGAAAACCCGATCCACCTCGTCCCACCTCGACTACCTTCCCTCCCCGGCACCCTCACCAGAGACCAGCCGTAAGCTCAACTCCGGTAAGGACCCGGCTTTGCAAAGCTCCTGCTGGGTGGGCTCAGGGGGCTGCCCGTGCTCAGGGGAGCCAGGAGTGCCGCTCTGGCTGGCTGCAACATGGGGCTGCAGGCAGGGCCGGTGTCAGGATTGCAGGCAGGGCAGCTGGACCTGCTCTGCCCATGCCTTGGAGAGCGCAGCATGGGTGTATGGCAAGGGGGCGAACACATGGAGGCTTCCTCGGACTCCATCTGGTGCAATCCCTCAGCCAGGGCTGCTGACAGCAAGGCTGAGCCCCTCTTTGCTTCTTTTCTCACAGACTTGCACGGGCTGTCAGACGAAGAGGGGTCCTCAGAGGTGTTCCTGGCCACTGACAGTGACTACGACTCCAGCCGAGCGCAGAGCCCAAAGGAGCTCGACCTGGTGTACTCCTCCTCGGGGCCCGACTGCTGCAGCCGGAGAGTCACCCGCACCCTGCGGGACAGCGCCCCGCCCCATGAGCTCAAGACCCCCCCGCCACCACTGCCAGAGGAGCCCCGGCCACCAGCTGAGCTCTATGACAGTGACTTTGTCCTGCCCAGCCGACAGATTGAGCTGCTCCGCATCACAGAGAAGCGGCAGGCATACTGCGTCCGAACCAGCAGCCTGGACTTCCCCAAACCACGCTGCCAAGCGGCCAGAAAGTCCTGCCCTGGCTCCGTCGACAGCTCCCCGACAGAGAGCAGGACCGTGGGCCATGGCAGCCAGCTCAGGCTGGGGACTGGCTCAACGCCCAGCCCCGAGCGCCGGCGGGGCGGGCAGGGCTCTGAGCCCGTCTTCCGGACACACTCGGCTGAGTGGACTGGAGCAGCCTGGGTGCTTGGCAGACCGAGGGAAGAAGCCAGGCTCTGTCACCTTGCGGGTCTGCCCTCAGTACGAAACTGGACTCTCCAAAGAGACCAGTGTCAAGGTACTGGAGCCTGTAAAGGGAGGTGTTGCAGCTCTGCTGTGCCTAGATGGAAATGGCTGGTGGGATGGGGAGGCAGCCAGTGGCGCCTTGCATGCCCCTCGCCTGGCACCACCTTCTCCATCCTCCACCATCCCTGGGGTGAGGTTCCCTGGAGCCCTGCAGCACTCCTGCTCTGCATCCCTTCATCCCTGCAGTGGTGACGAGGCTCCAGACAGTGCGGGACGGGGCGTGTGGCTCTGCAGGAGCTGCTGCTGCAGAGGGGGCGAGCCAAGGCCATGGGTAGGGGCTTTTTTGGGACAAGG